TCATCGACTCCGGCACCGCCGTGACTCGGTTGCAGACCACCATTTACAACCTACTGCGCGACGTGTTCGTTAAAAGGACGCACGATTTGAAGTCCGCACGCGGCGTCGCGTTGTTCGACACCTGTTACGACCTGTCGTCGAAGTCGAGAGTGGAAGTGCCGACGGTGTCGTTTCACTTCCCCGACGGGAAGGAGCTGCCGTTGCCGGCAAAAAACTACCTGATACCGGTTGACTCCGAGGGGACGTTTTGTTTCGCCTTCGCGCCTACGGATTCGGCGCTGTCAATCATCGGGAACGCCCAACAGCAAGGGACACGTGTCGGTTTCAACCTCGCTAATTCGCTCGTTGGCTTCTCTCCCAACAAATGTTAATTATTATATAGCTTTTTTCCTTAATAATAGAAGTTTCCGTCTTGCAATTTGCAAATTTCTTAATTCGTTTTTTAATTAAGCTAATCCTTTTTTTTTCTCTTTGAGATATTAATTTTTTTTGTCCTGATGGTGTGGTCCCTGTAATATAGTGATGAATGGACCACCCAGTAACGGTAAGTGGCAAGCATCGTAAATTTTTAGGTGGAGTGGGGGTATAACAGGCAAGGGAGATATGAATATATCCGTTGGGATTTACGGGGTCCAAATAAAAATACTTTTTCCTTTAGGGAATAGAATAATATATTGAAAATCAAAAACAGGAAACGGTCAACTGCAGGTCGCAGGTCAGTCGCAGGTTTAACATTGGATGCTGTGGCAGTGACGTTGATTGGTCTGTCCTTGAGGGTTCCAACCTCCGCAAATGGATGTTTCCTCCCTCCTTAAGTTTTGTCTCTTTTTTTCTTCTTTTGTTTATATTTTTAAATGTTCTAGAATTCTTCAATTTTTATTAATTTTTGTTTTTATTTTTATTGTTAAAATTTTATGTTGGGTATTTAGTAAAAGAAATAATCCTAACAATTTAACAATTTTCAAATACTACTATATCCGTGTGTGATATGTAAACTTTAATAGACATAATAGGTAAATTTAGAAATAATAATTAAAATATTTTTGAATAGCCAACTTGAATATAGTTACTAATTAAGGTATTTCTCTTTTATCAAACCATCCTAAATTCGAATTCACATAATACTCCAAAATAAATATAGATATATATTTGCATTAGTTGGGTTAATTTAAGAAATAAAAGAGCATTTTCCAAATTTCCGTAATACTATAGATCATGTGGTTTAATTTCTCCTTTCAATGCTTTATAGTTAGAAATTATGACAATTTAGTCAAATACTCGATTTTCGTAGGGTTCAATCAAATTTAACCTAAAAATTCATAGTATTTTGTTGCTATAAAAGTTTGATGTAATATTATATATCATGTAGATATATCATTTGCATGTTCATGTTGTTGTCCTACATTTTAGAGAAAAAATGAAGTCATATTTGTTTGATTCCGTCAGGTAAGTATATACATAAGTGATATATTATACAGTAGCATTCTAGATTATATTATACAAAATATTAATAATAATAGACTTACCGGCATAAAAGAATTTTGCTAAATTATTTATTTAATGGTTGTTTGGATTGTATTTAGAGATGCTTCATTTTCTATAATATATCACCTAAACTTAAAATATTTGATTTTTTTTAAAATATTTAAAGTATTATATAAGTGGCTTATTTCGAAAGTAGGTAAATATATAAAATATTAAGTTGTTAAAATTGATTCCTGAGAATGGGAGTGATTGTTGCTAGGTTAGGTGAAGAAGTAGAGGGTTTCTATAAAGACAAATTAGGAGATTTATTCAAAAATAAAAAATGAAAAATAAGAGATTTATTTTCTTGTTTTGACTTTAGACTTCATTTTAAATAAAGATTCTATACGGATTATTGTTAATTTGCTTAAACCGAAAAAGTTTGTCATGTCATTTTCCTAATCACTACAAATAAAATAGTTATACAAAATTGAAAAGGAAAAATATTTGTGTATCAATATTTTCAATTATTTGTAACCGTTAAGATCAAAATGGTGTCAAAACTATTTATTATTGTATATCTAAACACAATAAATTTTGAGTTAAAATAATCCACGAAATCCAAAGTATATGACATGTGTATAGTTCAACAATAAATTATTATCTATCCACTTTCTTGAAGATTTTTTTTAGTAAACAAACGTTGGGATGAAGGATTGAATCCTCTGACAAAGGAGCATGGTGTCTTTAACTTCCGAGCTAAACTCGTGTTGGGCATTTCAAAAGTTCAAATCTTCCTACTCTACAACCTCAAGAGAAAATGTTTAATTTTTTTTAATGTTTAATAATTATAGAGTTGGAAAATCAGTCGTACTTCAACTTTAGTTTGTCTCTTAAAACCGCTAAATTATTCTTATTAAGATAGCCTATTAATTAGTTTATTAATATTATGTTAGGTTCAAAGGAGCATGGTGTCTTAACTGTTGGGCTAAACTCGTTTTTTTTTTTTTTTGACATAAGCTAAACTCGTGTTGGACATTTAAAATTTTGAATCTTCATACCCTACCATCTCAAGGAATAAAAAGTTTATTTTTTTTAAAGTTTAATAATTGTAGAGTTGGAAAATCAATCCTCCTTCAACTTTAGTTTGTGTCTTAGCCATTAAATTATCCTCATTACGATAGCACATTAATTAGTTTATTAACATGCTGTTATAACAATAAGTTAGTGTTTGTAAAAGGAGGTTGGTGGCAATTCTCTATAATTAGGAAGATACAATTAAGAGTTTTTTACCTCTGTGTATAGAATACCTGCGAGCACTGTATTTTGAGCGCTATAAATACATGAGGTTGTCTCCTGTATTTCAATTATCTATTTAACTTAAAAGGTATTAGAGCCCGACAAGTTCAAATAATATTTCTATCTAAAATGGGATCCAGATCAAGATTGGTGCTCAAAAGAGTCACAATCTTAAGACACATGTTATAGATCTCGCTTAATTGACTTTTCAGAAGTAACATTCATAAATATTGATAATCTTCGAGTTGACTTTAAATATATACAATTTGAGTTTAAATGTTATCTTTAAAATATTAGAAAAAGGTATTTTATATCGTATGATTTCTTATTTTAGTTAAGGTTAGACTACAGTTAAGCTATCCATATAAGTATATTTAAAAGTAAATACATTATCATTTCCTTGAAGTCGGAATTTCAAATCTCAATTTTAAGTCGCCTTGTTTGAAAAAAACCACCAAAATATTAACGATAATTCATTGGTCAATATTTGTACTTGAAAAAAAAAGGTCATTGGTCAACATTGTCTCTATTTACATACGTCTTGTTTTATTATCATCTCTCCTCTTCTTTTTCTTTCTAATTCTCTGTCATCATAATCTTTCTTGTTTTATTTTTTTATTTTTGTGAAATGTAATTTTAATAACTTTATTTTTGTTACTTACTAACAAAAAACGGATACACAAAATACCAAAAAAAGAAAAAGAAACCGATGTGCTATTTTTCCCTTTTTTTTTAATACAACAACCGATGTATTAATTTTATACTACTGGCGAGGTAGAGGATTAAACCATCCTTTAATCTTAAAAAAAAAACATTTTTACCACTCAATTATGTCCAAAAAGATTAAACGACTCAAAAAATAAAAATAATAGTACCTCATCCTCTTTTTTCTCAATGGAAAAAAAAAACAATCACTTGAATTTATCCAATAAATAAATAAAGTCAGGCATTGACCGAAACTAATAACAGTAGACATCTTTGCAAAAGGAAAAAAATTTTAAAAAAAATTGTAGAACACATAATTCCTCCTTCACGCTAGCGGTGAGCGCGTGAGCTGAAATTTCCTTCATGAGTGGGAGTGTCCGGAAGCGAACAGGCACATTCGTCTCCAAGTTCCGGAGTGATTCTGTCAAATTTGTCCTCTTTCAGTTTTCGTTTTCTTTCTCAATCCATGAAAATTGAAATTTCTGATACTTGTTTTTCTGTAAAGAATCCCTAAAAAGTAACCCTTTGATCCACTCTCCCTATCGTTTTCTCACCCACTTTTCACGTTCTCCTCAATTTCACCTCATTATGATTCAGTCCCAAAGCTTCCAATTCTTCAACCCCTTCCAAAACAATGCTCCTTAGCTGTTAATCCTTTCACAATGGGCGACTCCGGCAGCGTCTCCTCCTCCTCCTTCGATTCCGCCTCCGTCGCCACCGCCGACCAGGTGCAGGTACCCGCCCTACCACAAATCTGTTTAAAGTTGGGCCTCCCTTTTTCTCGCTGGATTCCGTCTACTTTACTGATAACTTTTGATCAAATTCTCTTCCTTTTCTTCATGGCCGATCAATGTGATTTTTTTTTTTTTTGCCCCTTCTCTTTTGGTTTGACTACAGAATGCAGTTGGGGGTCGCATGAGTGGCGACGGAGGCCAAGCACTGTCGGCTGAATCATCTCGCCGTTGGCAAGATATTTTCTGGTCCATTGTGTTTATGATTCATTTGATCAGCGTGGGATTTGTTCTGGTGGTTCTGGGGCTTAATAGGTTCAAGAAGAGCAATAGATTACAAATCGATAAGTACACAAATACTATTATGGAGAATAGGGATGGATTGACAGAGGATTACTGGCCTCTGTATGCTTTAGCAGGTGGAGTTGGAACCTTGCTTGGGTGGACTTGGTTGTTCTTGCTTGGTTCTTTTGCAATTCATGTAATGAAGATTTCTGTGCACATTTTGACTACTTTTCTTGCTGTGATAAGTGTTTTGTGCTTCTGGGGCCAACTATTTTTCTGGGGTGTAGCATTTGGAATTGGTGCAGGGCTGCAGTTCCTCTATGTTATATCAGTTATAGACAGGTACGAGATTGAATTATGAAGAATTTCGATGTTCTCAATCTCAATTTACTGCCATGCTTCTGAAACTTTCCATGCTTTCATCATTTGAACTATAGTAGTGAAAGTAGCCTTTGGGTCCATATGTGTCTTTAACTATTTTTCAAAAAATTTCCCTTTAACTCAGCTCTCTTTGAGAATTAGAAATGTACATGAACAAAAAATTGGACTAGATGATAATTGCAGTCTTCTCTGACCATGCATTTTTCCTTCCATAGACTCCCATTTACACTGCTAGTGTTGCAAAAGGCTGTAAAGATGGTATCCGGGCTTCCTGAAGTTATAAGAGTTGCATTTGCTTTCATGATTGTCATGCTTTTGTGTATGGGAATTTGGTCTTTTGGAGTAGCTGGTATTGTGGCATCGAGTATGGGTGACGGTGGACGCTGGTGGCTACTTGTGGTGAGCTGGCAAGTTTGCTCTTTGTTATGTCACTTTATGCAAAGATGAGAAGTTTGACAGTTTAAAAAAGCCAGGAATGTTAGCTGAATTTGTATGATATGGAATTTCTGTTTGCAGGTTTTCTCGATAAGCTTATTTTGGGCTGGTGCTGTTTTGTGTAATACTCTACATGTTGTAGTTTCCGGAATGGTGTTTCTAGTTCTAATCCATGGCGGCAGAGAGGCTTCGTCTATGCCATCAAAGTCGTTGGTAAAGGTTTTACGATATTCTGTGACAACATCTTTTGGTAGCATTTGCTATGGATCACTTTTTACAGCTGCTATCCGGACACTGCGGTGGGAGGTATTCGTGCGAGAACTTTATTTCCTTTCCCACTTTTCATTGTTTCTTTCAATCTACACGTTTTTCTTAAAACTAAAATAGACATATTTCAGATCAGGGGAATCCGATCAAAGATTGGCAAGAACGAGTGTTTGCTTTGCTGTGTTGATTTTTTGTTTCATCTTGTCGAGACTCTTGTTTGTTTCTTCAACAAGTATGCTTATGTTCAGGTACTTTCTTTTACCTCGTTTTTTTTCCCTATTAAAGAAACAAGTGGAATAATTTATTTAGTTTGACTCTGTACTCTGAACTTTATGAACTGCTATTACAATTTCCCCGTGACTATTTCATAGTCTGCTGCATCTCTTTGCTTCAGATTGCAGTTTATGGTAAAAGCTTCAACCGTTCAGCCAGGGACGCCTGGGAATTATTCCAGTCAACTGGAGTTGAAGCTCTTGTTGCCTATGATTGTTCAGGATCTGTTCTGTTGATGAGCACCATCATGGGCGGGCTCACCGCTGGAACTTGCTCGGGCATTTGGACATGGATCAAGTGGAAGGATAAGGTGTCAATGGTGGCATGTACTGCAACATTGATGGGAATGGTCCTGGTAAATATGAATCTTTGTAGCTGGGTGTTTGGAAATATTGTTTCTCTAAATTTGTATTATATTTTGCTTGCTAATTATAATCTATGAATTGGAAACTTTTTAGTTTTTCAATTATAAAGTTGTCATTCTATCTATTTTGTAACTTTCAGGTAGGCCTTGCAATAGTCGTTGTGGAAAGTGCCGTTACATCCATATACATCTGTTATGCGGAAGATCCCTTGTTGATTCACAGATGGGATGCTGAATTCTTCAACCAGATGTCGGAGATGCTTCACCAGCGCCTTCAGCATCGGAGTTCACGAGCAAGGGAAGTGTTAACAGAGTATCGGTTTGACAGCCGCAGAGAAGACCTGGTACAGGCATGAACTCCGGTACCGTGCACAACCCAATTTGTTAACTTCATTCACTTGAATAAAACTATTTTTGTTTGAGTTGTGGAGTTTACTTTTGTTAATGTAACAATCAATCAACTGTATAATAGTTTAAGATTCCAAGAGTGAAATATATCAGTAGCTGAAAAATTTTGATGATTTTCAGTTTCCATGCTATGCTTTTGCTGTAGTATGGTATGATTCGATTTGATGCTGTGATGAATTGTGCTTGTTATGTCGAATTGTCAGTCACAAAGCGCGAAATGAAAGTTGATAAAAGTCCAAAAAGAACAGGGTGATGCTTTCATTATCCTTTTATTATTTGGAAGCTTCAATCTTTAGGATATGGGAATGTCAAAGATACATACAACTTTCAAAAACGTGAAGAATCCTGGGTTTTGTTGTCCTTTTGCCTGTTTTTTTCTTTTCTTTCATGCCTTCTTATTCTCCCTGCAACACAAAAAGTGATGTTAAAAGTTGCCTTCTCTTTACAAAACTTGAAAATCAAGACAGGTACATACTGAAAATACAATATCTTGTGTATTTGACTGCTTGAGGAATGAAAACCCCTGTTCCATTCCCATTTTCATGGCAAACACGTCCTTCAAAATCATCCCCATTTTGGCGCCTACTCAAATTTCTCTCCAGGTGCGGCTGATGATCGCTTTGTCAACCCGCTACACCCCGTTCCATCTCATCATCATCGTATGCTGTCAAAAGTAGAATGATCCGCTTCCTTATCTCAGCATAGAAACCATCTTCTTCTTCTACTACTTGTTTGTTGAGCTCTGCTTTGAAATCCATGGTTTTGGGGATTCTTCTGTGAAGAAGATAGATTGTGTTTGGAACTTTATACCGAAGTGAGAGCAAATGAAGTACTCTGTTTGGAGACAGAATTGTGACAGATACAGACAAAAAGGCCTAATTTTTTTAGCGTTAGTACACACGGCTCACGGCTATCGTCTAGATCTCAAGTACTTCATTAATTTCATATCTCAAGTACTTCATTAATTTCATAAACTTGTAGACTAAGATCAACTTGCCAAGTGAAATGGAACGAATTTGATTAATTAATTATTGGTTTATTTTTCCTTCTTTTTTTGTTTTTTGAAAGGAGATATCTCTCATGGAATGACAAATATTATGTGTTTCTGGACTATATGAGTGCTTTTTGTATTATATTCTAAACGAATAAGAATATTTTAAATATAAATTCTGCAGGGATCGAATTTGTTTCTATGAAAATTCTGGTGCTTGAATATTTGAGAGGAATATAAATTAAGTAAAGATATTGTTATTTTTGCAGCATCGAAACCTAACATAATTAAATTGATTAAAGCATATATATATTTGAGGAAAAGAAGTCATTATTTTAAAATCTTATATCTATCTATTTCTAGTAATGGATTAATCAAGTTGGAATGGTTTAAAAATTATGAAACGGTTATGTTGAAGAGGAGATTGCCGCGCCCTTTGGAACCGTCTCAGTTTTTCAAGTTTCATATAAAGAGAAGAGAAGCACAGCCCCCTTACATTTCTTCATTCCTCCAAGTATATGGACAATTTGCAGAAAGACGCCAATTTCTCTTCTGTGCCATCGGCGCCGCCGCCGCCGGCCTCGTTTTCTTCCAATTTGAACCACCCCCGAATGGCGGCGGCGGCGGCCAATCCTCCCCCACCCCACTCTCCAGTGGCGTGGTCCACCGGCCTCTGCGACTGTTGCAACGACATTAGTATCTGTTAAGTTCAATTATATTTTACTTGTTAGAAAATATTTGTGTTCTCATTGTTTTTTGTTTACAGGCTGCTTGACTTGTTGGTGCCCCTGCATCAGCTTCGGGCGCATAGCAGAGATATTGGACCGAGGATCACCATGTAATTAATTAATTAATTAATTAGTAATTAATGTGTTAATTGAAAGTTTTTTACAAAAATAATTAAAATGTTACAACTTTGCACTTGCAGCGTGTGGGGTTAGCGGCACACTTTATTTGGTGATACTGAGCCTGTCGGGTTGGTCGTGCCTCTACACTTGCCTTTATCGCTCAAAATTGAGGGGACAATTCTCGTTGGAGGAGACCCCTTGCTCTGATTGCTGCGTCCATTGCTTCTGCCAACAATGTGCCTTGTGCCAAGAGTACAGGCACCTTCAACACCATGGCTTCCACATGTCGTACGGTGAGTGGTTGTCACTTATCTGTATTAATTGAGAGGAAATGACATTACCTGACTACTTATCGAGTGAGTACATAATAATCTCCGATTCTTAATAATGTCTCGTTAAATTACTACTAAACGTCTTAATGGTATAATTCAAATTGGTATTAGTTCACTCAAAGAAAATGGTTGTTGTGGTGCTTATTTTAATGTATGGGCATAGGGTGGCATGGGAACGTGGAGAGGCAGAGACGGATTGCTGCTGCTCAAGCATTGTTGCCGCCGCCCAATGTGCAGGGAATGACCCGTTGAGTCAACCTTTGCTGCCTTTAAAACTATATATTTAAATGAACATTGTTATTTTTATTGTTGATTTTATGTAACTTTGATCCGATCAATAAAGACTATTGGAAATATTCTCTTCACATCCAATCTTCTTCTGAATTTTTATTAATTATTGGACTTAATTTTGTTAGACTCCTGTTTAATTTTTATAATATTGTCTACTTTTGACTTAAACATGCGTGTTGCTGTTTATAACATCATTTGCATTTTCAGTATTAAAATTGTTTAACTTTTAATTATGAAATGTGCTTTTTTTTCATCTAAAAAAAGTGGAAAACCCTTTACACATAAAAACCACGAAAGAATTGCAACAATTTTTGTTGCATATAATATTCAAACGTGACAAAAGCATGGAGACATAAATTAATGTGAATTTAAAATAATCTTAAACAATGCGATGAGTCTTCTCTTCTTTAGGAAGATTAGACCTTATTTCTATAATAATATTTGGTCAATTGCCGACCAATCCAATGGCCCATTATTCTGTATCATTTATTAGTTTAATAGGAAAAGCATGTCATTTTTGTAATAATTCAAATTCAGCTCATTTAACCGACAACTATTTGCATTGAGGTCCCCAAAATGGGGCATTGTGGCCTTTTTTTTAATAAAAAAAAAATCACAATCTCCATCATTTATGTCTTTTATGATTTTATCTTTTTGTTTGTATCATATATTATATTTTAGTCTTTATATTATAGTTTAGCTTTTGAGTTGTTATACTTCTAAATGCATAACCATTAAATTCTTGTGTTAAAAAATTGTTAATATTCATGAAACTGGACTAAAAATGAATTCTAGTTTAAACCAGTATTATCTAATTCGAAATAGATGTTTAACATGAATAACTTAATCTTTAAATTTAGTAAAAATATTAAGGGTTAGTTTTTTCCTTCCTGAACAATTAAAGGTGAATTTGTATCACTGGTAGTAAAATGAAAAGTGATTTTAGTGAATTAAAAGAACTTTTTAAATTTTTAGTATTTGGTTATATAGTTAAAGATAATTTTGGATTTTTTTTTTTCAAAAAGTAAAGCACTCCACTTTAAGATAAAAACAAAAACATCACAAACTCCTAATATGTTACAAAAATTGAAGTACAAGCCTTAGAAATGTATTTTAACCTCTCTCTTTTTTTATATATAATATAATGTTCGGTAAACATTCTTTTCTTTTCTACGTAGGAAAAAAAATATTTTTTTATAACATTTTCGCTTTTAATATTCATGAGATTCCATCTCAAAACCAATTGATGAGATGAGTAATCTATGTCTATTATAAACCATTGTTAGGTCTATTTTCTTTTCAATGTGAGATCCTTAATATTCACATAGGAAAGATTATTTGTCTGTTTGCCTTGATTTTGCCTCGTCTTGTGGAAATTAGTCTCATATATATATTTTTTATTTCAAATAACAATTTCAGGTCTTCCCCTTATGGATTGTATTTTATAGAAAATATATCCATTTCCATACCATATTGTTGCTTTTCCAAAAAAGATGGTGCTTCATTTCCAACCACCACCATTATCTCTTTTTTTTTCCCCTTTTTTTTAAGGGTACATTGAATCAATGAGGATAAAAAGATAATAGAAAGTGGGAATTAATGTCTGGGGAATGAACAAAGTTGGCTGCCCATTTGCTTGTATATGGAAGATTTTGTCCCTATCCAAATCTAAGCATTTCTTTTGAAACCATATACTTTAATTTTGTTCTATAAATTATATAGAAAACTGATCACCAAAATTATTGATTGTGATCAGTTTATCAACCATTTTGTTTCAATACTTTATTTTTTGAAATAAAATAAAGAAAAAGTTGTTTACTAAAGGAAGGTTCCATTGTGTTAACCTATACCCTACTTCCAAAATTCTAGTCAAATTAAAAAGAATATTTTGTTTTTAAAATTTGGCTAAATATAAAAATAATAATAGCGTAGAAAACAATTGAAAGAATAAATTATATCAATACACAATATTTTTTGACTGAAAATATTGAAAATAAAATTATCATCAAGGGTATAAAATAACTGTTTTGCGTTTCTAATTTTGCCACTTTTTAAGGCTCTTCCGAATATTCCCAAAATAAGACGTGGGTTAGTCCATAAATTGGAGAAGTTTTGTGGAGGGAAATGTAATTCATAGAAGTAGAGTCCATCATATAGAATTTGATATTGTTTACTGGTTGTTGTTGCTAGGGTACTTTCACTCATTCAAAGTGTGATCCTTCTAATTCAAGTGAATAAATTTCAAATAGGGATGTATTTGATCCCAATGTGCTAAATAGAGCTACTAAGAATTCTACGTTGAAAATATAAGATATATGATTATTCTTCTCATTGTCAATTAATTTTGAGATGAAATTCTATAAATAATGATGTAATTGACTTTAAGACTAATTTAAAAAAGAATCTCATTGATAATTGGTCAAAGGATGGTCAACAAATAGAAAAGTGGGTCGTTTGAGGGTCGAGAGAGAGCTAGTTAATAATAGTAAGGACAAATAAAAAATCAGGGAATATCTAAGGCATTAACAATAAGTAACAAAATTTTCAAACAGAGTATAACTCAATTGGTTTAAGTAGGTTTAAGCATAGATACTTAATGAGGTTTGAATTTTACCCATATTGTTAAATTGAAACAAATAAAAGTTGATTGCCTAGTGTTTTTTTTTTCAACAATTGAGAATTCAAACTTTTAGAAGTTCTTGGCCTAGAATTTCTATAAATATTAGTGTCAAGCTTTAATGAAATTGTTCCGGCAAGAGAACATTGTGTTTATAAGATGCTACAAATGAGGATGGAATTAATAATCTTTGAGATGGTAAACTACAAATATTAAATTATCTATTTAAAAGATATTTTATTTATCATATTAAATTGTCAAGAATTGTTTTTTATAATTAATTTAAAAGGTTTACTTCAAAGTTCAACCAGCTCAATTCTATGCAAAACACATCACTTTTCTAAAATGGAATAAGCTTAAATTTCATTCCTTAATGATAATTTTAAAATAAATAATATTAAAAATGTTGAATTACTTTTAAGTGGTCCTTTCAATGTGTACCTAATAGCTTTTTAAGCTTTAAGAATATTTTAAGAATTGGTAATCACCTTGAATTTTATATCTAACAAATTTCTAAATTTTAGAAGGTGCCGATAACCCATTTAAAGGTTAAAAAGTTTATGTTATCAAAAGAAGAAAGATTAAAATTTTATTATATACTGCAATGAATATCTCTAGTTTTATGTATTATTCTATTTCTTTCGATTTCTTGGTATTGTTCTATTTCCCTAGGATATATATTATATCTCTAGTTAAATGATACATAAAACAATAGAACCAGAGAAATCAGAACTATATACTCGTATATGCGAACTAATTTAAACAATAGAACCAGAGAGCAAGAGATGAACTTTCATTCTGTCCAAAACTGAAACCTAAATATAACATAAACTACGGTACAATGGGAACCGACATACTGAAATGCTCGTGCGACGGTGGCCGGAGATGAAATTAGATGATACCGTATAATGGAGCTGCCGGAGATGAAAGGAGGCAGCGACAATGTTACCGTATAATGGTAACCAACGGAGGCCAGCGATGAAATGTTCTGCAAACAAAAAAATCGGAGCTGCCAAAGACAGCGACAATATCGGAGAAATGATCGGATGCTTCAAAGGAAGAAGAAGCCCGACAGTCAGTGTAGTGAAAGAAAATCGAGGGAGAAGAAGGAGGTTACGGAATTTTTGGTTTTAGGATTTTCAATTTTGGAGAGTTGAATTAGCACGATTTAATATATTTTAATAATGATTTATCAATTTCATATTTTAATAATAATTTAATATTATGATGGATATATTAGTAATTTTGTTGCGGATAGATTTAAAAATTATTTTAGAAATTCTATATTCCTAAATACAGAATTTACTAATCCCTATATTATTTGGTAACTGTAAATGCCGGGTCTGACGGAGGGGACATCGTGACGTCGATTTCAGTAGGGTTTTTGATTCTCTTCTTTTCGCGCCCTAAGAGAAAGCAAAATGGAACCACTGAAGATTGAAATGGTGCAATTATGGTCCTCCTACGAACTACAGTCATGAATTAGAAGATTGACGAGCTAGCTAGAGCACTTTATTGGAAGTCAAATTCAATTTAGGCACCCATCAACGATTTGCCATTTGAACAACCATCTTTGGTGGCTACCATGAAAAGCAGCAGGGGCAACTGGAAGTGCTCTTAACTTAAGTTTCTGGACTAGCAATGGCATCTGAACCACAATTTGACCTCGATTTTCATGGTGGAAATTCTCGGTGGAAGTGGAAGTAATGTTATTTTGTCAAACACTTCGCTTGAGAAGGTGCAATCAAAAGTCCAAGGAAATTTTCTGACATGTTAAAATTTTTCTTTAGCAATTTCACAGTTGAGATTGGTTGGAGGATTGAACTTAATACGGATGCTTTTGAAATCAAATATCACTGTCAAGCAATCGCACATCCAGAATGGACATATGCTTGCTTGCGCACAATTGGTATGTCATTTTTGACCCTTGAAGCTGGCATTTACAACCACACATATTGATAGACCTAAATTATCTATAGTTCTTGAATTTCTATCTTGATTGGAAATCACTCTGGGACCTTCACCGTTTAACTACTACTGTTGCAAATTTTGGAATGTATGAATCTTGACAGAGATTGTAACATAGAAACGTTCTGTTTTTTTTTTTTTTCCCTTTCTTTCTTTCCCACCCAACAAATTTAATGGGGATAAAAGAATATTTATGATGGTCTTTTATCTTTTATCTTTTTCCCTCTTAGGTAAGGCGTCTATAAGGTGTTTGCAAAAAGTCCCCAAAGAGGGTAAACTAGATTGATGATGCATACCGAACTTCTTTTGGGAGGCAACAATTGTGATGGCTGCAGCATGTTCAGCAACAGCTCTTATAGCGTGTTGGCTGTGGTGGCTGCGCAACAGACACGACAATGCCGATAATTATGTTCCAGGTAAATTTTTATGAATTTTTAAACTGTGTAAAGCTGCAAGAGTCCTAACGTCACGATTAAAATTGAAGTGGGACAAGCAACATGACATGTTTCTCTTGTGCTTGAACTTTAAGCACATATTAATAATGGAGTTTTCCAATGGGGGTGGCAGTAGGCCATAACAAAACCCACCAATCCGAGAATACACCACTACAAGCTAATAAGTCAGACTTTGCTTTTCAGACAAAGCGCATTCAAAGTGAGCCATTTCAAAAAGTTGTAAGTGGGACTAAAAAAGCATTGCATTCTAGAACTGTAGGCCTCAATTGTCTTCTTTTGAATTTATATCTTTTCACACAACCTTTTCTTGTTGATTCATTACTAATATTTCTTTCTTTCTTTCTTTTTTCCTGTTATCGTAATTTGTATACAGCATATAATTATTTTTTATTTTTTGAGAGATAAATGCAGCATATACTAAAACATGTGAATCTCACCTTTTATATTACATTCCTATAAAATAAAGAAAAAATAGAGTAAGTCCCGACTCTATTTTATTGTGCTTGAATCAATGTAATGTCAACCCATGTGGCACTCAGCCAATTGCCCACCAACCCCAACTTGATGGAATAGCTGTCCACGTCCTGCCACGAGGCTTATCCTTTCATCATCTATATAAGGAACATCAGAAATGCATACTTCCGGCCATAACCAATTATACCCTCTCAAAATTCTCCGGCATAATTTCTGCATCTACCCTCATCTCCATCCCCATTCTATGAGGAGTAAAAGAATGCCTACCATTAACCTAGATCAGATTCAAAGTTTTGAAGAACATGATAATAGCCTTGATCAACATAATGTGTTGGTTGAGGAGATTGAAGGCCTAATTAGAGTTTACGGAAATGGGTATGTGGAAAGACCACATATAGTTCCCTGTGTCTCTAATGCATTGCCGCCAGAGCTCGGTGTTACTTCTTGGGATGTAGTTGTGGATAAGTTAAACAACATTTGGGCCCGTTTCTATATTCCACAAAAGTGCCAGGAGAAGCTGCCTTTGCTCGTGTATTTCCATGGTGGTGGGTTTTGTGTGGGCTCGGCCGCTTGGAGTTGCTACCATGAATTCCTTGCCAGGCTATCTGTAAAAGCAAACTGTATAATTATGTCCGTGAATTATCGTTTGGCTCCGGAAAACCCTCTTCCTGCTCCTTTTGAAGATGGATTGAAGACCCTTTTGTGGTTGAAACAAGTTGCTGTAGTTGGGGCCAAGCAGAATTGGTGGTCAAGATACTGCGACTTTACCAAAGTCTACCTTGGTGGTGATAGTGCTGGTGGCAACATAGCCTTCAATGTAGCCGCAAGGCTTGGTGGTAAGACGACTGCTTCCGGAGCAGTGGTCTTGAAACCATTAGTAATTAAAGGTAACATTTTGATACAGCCATTTTTTGGTGGGGAGTCAAGAACTAAGTCAGAGAAGTTTCTGGTCCAACCTCCTCGTTCACCGCTGACCATGGCGGTTTCTGATAAGTACTGGCGGTTGGCGTTGCCTTCCGGGGCAAACCGTGACCACCCATGGTGCAGCCCTTCAGTAAAAGGGTTGTTTAAGGTGGAGGATTTAAGGGTTTTGCCTAGTCTGATTTGTATATCAGAAATGGACATATTGAAAGATAGGAACTTGGAGTTTTGCTCTGCGTTACATACAGTGGGTAAGCTGGTCAATTATGTGGTTTATGAAGGAGTCGGCCATGCGTTTCAGATTCTGAACAAGTCACAGCTCTCACAGACCCGGACCCATGAAATGATTGATCATATCAAGGATTTCATTAGTGTGTAGCTCCAGTAGACTTTGTACAAAAACGAACACTTCTTTCAGATTTAGTTTTTTCCTCACAGAAGAGAGAAGAGAGAGAGAGAGAGAGTATTCTTATCAGACTTATCACTACAATTTCCCATTTAACTTATCTTTATTATATACTTCAATGGAGAGTACTGTACAAGTTGGAGTCCTATGCAAACTTGCATTTCGGAATGTCCTATATGAATATAGATTATATATCTTTTCTGACTCTTACTGTTGCCTTTTCAAATCTTTGCAATTTGTTGAAGATGGAAGTATAAGGAAAATACTAAAAGCTGCACTGTGTGGTGGGCCTCCACTCCACCCGTGAGATGCAGTTCCCATAAGAAGTAAGAAAGTGGAAGTTTAGCCTTAGCTAGGAGCAGATAACCAATTCAATTTTGTATGTCATCCATTTGTTCAGCATGTCCGTTTGTGGTCAAACCGAGGATATTGTGCACTCGCATGTGACATCTAAGCCACGTGACTGGTTCGTGATGAGTAAATTCTTCTATAGTATGTTTTTGTTTAATTTATATCCATCTTAGACATCTACACCTGGACTTAACACTCCAACATCCCTGCCTCCTATCAACTGCCATGATGTCCTAGCCATCTCATGGCAATCAGAACATGTTTTTCTATTGAGGAGCTTTCATTAAGAGATGAAAAAAATTCATGGACATACAAAAAAACAGTCTAAACGTAGAAAAAGGAACTCCAATCCAAAGGAACAACGTCTAACTGATAAGTACAAAAGTCTTTAGAAACCGACCCCACGAGGAAGTATTAAATCTAATAAGCTCCCTAACCATACTCCATAGATCTCCCACACCCTAAAGGTTCTATTGTTTCTCTCAAGTCATATTCTCCAAGAAGTAGCCAGGAAGAAGGTCTGCCACAAAAACCTTTTCCTGTTCCGAAAGGGGGACAACAATGCCTCATCCATCATCGTTGGCAATTGGAACATGTTACTCAAGCAACTTAACATGTCAAGGGACTAGATTTAATCATGATGACCGTCAATTTAGACCCTTCTCATTCCATCAGTTAAGCAAGTTGTAGGTTGACCAACTCGACTCCGGTTAGCTTTCAGACAAAAGTAGTTCCAAATAATCACTTTACTTCTTCAAAAGTAGTATAAGACTCCATTCTGAAAGAATCGAGTATGGGCGTATGATACTCAAAATTTTTGCTCACCGTTAACATTTCAACAGCACTCAAATTGCGAGTGAATGTCATCACTTTTGTACTTCTTTTAAGCTCTTGTCTTACAAGCTAGGCAGCAAACTTTGTCAGCAGCAATAATATTGTCTCCTTTTTCGTTTCGTCTCTAGTCTCTTCCTTTTTAGATGCACAACTGGAAAGAAACCTCACACTTAGTAGAGGGAGGGACTGACTCTACATTAGTGGATGGCTGATGCGACACCAAGGGTAAATGATGAAGTGAAGCCAATGACAAATTTAGGGCCCTCACTTCTCAAAAGGATGTGTATACCAAAACAGGTGCCAACTTTATGACAATGGATATTGGTTGGGGGGCCATATTCTCCATCCCCTGTACTCTTTGACGCTGCACATTGGTGATGACACGGTTTGCTTTTCCTTGTGCAGCCATTCCTGGGGTTCACGTCTCTATCTTTTTTTTTAGTTCATTTTACTAAATTTAATTTCTAAATTTTTATAATCGCATCTAATTAGTTCTTTAATTTTGAAAGGTTTTAATTATGTTCTTGAATTGATTTAACAGTCTATGAAATGTTGATGTGATATGTTTTATTAGATTAGTGTGGATTGATTTGGCATGATATGGCATACAAATAGTAGAAAAATAGGAATAATTGGGCATACTTAGTGGCGCATTTGCTAGTTACAAGTTGTATATAATATTAAATATAGCAAAAATTTTCACTTATATCAGTAGTATATCAAATACTCGTATCAATAGTATATCAGACACTCATATCGGTATTACATTAGATGTATATCATACATATTGCACAGACACTCATATCAGTAGTATATAAAATGTATATCACATACATATTGTAAGTATATCAAACATTCATATTAATAGTATACCAGATATATATCACATACATATATCAGTAGTCATATATATTACAAATGTATATCATTTAGGTAAAGTTGTTATTTTAAAGTTTGACTTCCATTTTTTTTAAGTGCTATATTTAAAAAACTAAATATAGTTGTTATTTTGCTAATTTTACTCATTATTTTTGTCATATTTGCTACTACCTTTTTTTACCATTGTAATGGATAAAACATTTTTCCCCATAATTGTGAGAGCTTACGATATTTTGAATATAGGCTATACGTAAACAACATTTCATAAATAGTATTGACAGTCTTGGACTTATTTTATGGTGGAGTGAGTTGGTTTAGCTCTAATCTATGATGCAACAGAGACCAATAATTAATCATTCCGACTAATCCATAAGGTGAGAAATGAAGAGATATGTGCTAAAAGAGCACAAGAGATTACGAAATTTGGGGCGATGGTTGGTCCATCCATGAATAAGACCTGCATCTATGGAGTTAAAACAAGATCTTGTGTTATCACAATACTCAGATTTTAATTCCACAAGTGCTGTAATGTTATTAATGTGTTCCAAAATTAACCTTTTGTTCCCAGGGGTCCATTTTACTTTTATTTGAAAATACGATATTGAATGAATCCAAATCTCCTTTATTTTCAATATTAATGCAAAAGCAATTATTTAAATTAAGGGTTGGAAATATTTTTTAATCATGAATTTACATTGTGCACTGTATGACGAGATTACTTGAAGATGATCAGTAGGCCCAATGAATCAGGAGAAAAAAATATCCATAACACAGAAATAAGACCTAGAAATTGATTTAGTTTTGGAATCTTAAGAGTATAGTCAATATAATTAATATAAATCGATAACAATTACAGTAGAGATTGAGGGATTGGAAATCAAAAAAGGTATAGATACAAACGGAGGCTTGAAAGCCCCACCGTTCATCAACATCCAACAAATTCTGAGTCAAGTGTTGAAAAAGACAAATGAAGAAAGAATATTAGATTTCTAGGATGCAGAAGAATAAAAGCATGAAGTCTTCTACTGAAGGGCAATTACCAAATGATCAACTGAGTAAACCCAGAGGTCGTCAATGCCTCGCTCTGCACGCTAGATGCATCATACAACTGCACTACAACAACGAACAGGGGGAAGAAACATACAGCTATTTCATTTAAAAACAATAGCAACTTCTGCAAAAGCATCCTCATACAGATGTTCGTGATGGAGATGGAATCCCATCTAACTAGACATCATCACATGATCGATTGATTGAAGAGCTTGGTTGGCAAAGAACCGGACATCTACATCTGGATCCTCACTGAGTTCAACTAGACTAGGGCGGATCGTCTTTTCCACCACCTGCATCGTAAGTGTTATCCAATGTTAATGCGGAAGCACTGAGAACCAATGAAAAAGAAAATATGTAAATGTACAAATGTATTATCAAACTACTCACAGGCTGGTCAACTATGGGAATGAGAGACTGCAACACCTTTGCCACATTAAACTTGATATTTGGAACCCTGCAAACACGAAATTAGCAACAGAAAAAGAGCCTAGACCTAGATATTGCCTGTCGGGTTGTCCAATTAACAATTAGGCACAAGCCAAATGGGTTAACTCCCATCCATTAATCAATTTTATAAAGTTGATTTCCCCCTTCCCACTTGAGGGAGAAACGAGTTTAACAGGAATTCATAACATCAGTTATCAACAAAATTTATGTCATGCACCTGTCCTTGGAAGAACTGATAACCACTGGCAAAAGCTTTGAACATGTGATTTCTGAGCCCATGACTGGGGCAAGAAGGGAGACCGCACGAAGCACAGTCATTCGATACAAATAGTGTGGGTTGTTAATCATGTCAAGAACCTGTTTGTGAAACACCATTTCAGTAGCTGGAGTACAAAGTGCATATATTGTGTGTGCATGCAGGCAGGGTGAAGGGATTTCTAGAAATGTTGATTAACGTTATACTTCTTTTCATAACCTCTGGATGATGTCCTTGATCTAAAACTTTTTACACTTATTTCATTTGTGATTCAAACCAACTGGAGAAATTTTTATATCCTCTCTCTGGACTGCTCATATTTTTTTTCTTATCCAAAAAAATTGCTATGATCACACTTCCAAGTTTCTAGGATGCAAACAAAAGTGACATAAATCAAGTAAATTGTTCAAAATACAATGTATGGCTAACATCTCAGTGGGCTTGAAGTGACTGAAATGTTATAAACAAACCTGTGGGACAATATGCTGCATTGCCCACTCAGGACCAAATTCTTCTGCAAGGCGCTTCAAATTGTTAGCAGCTGCATCACGGATTGAGTAAACCTGTAAAGAAGCAAACGTTGCAATAAAAATAAAGAATAAGAACCTGCCTTATATATAATAAGCTTTAAAATTATCCCCTTGTATCATTTTTTCTTGCATCAGAGCTTACGTTGTTGTAGAAGGATTAAGGAATATGTGCACTTTCAGTACTTTGTTGACTATTTAGATTGAAAGAATCAAGCATATTTTCGAAGACCAGACATCAGATTGAGAAGTTTGGAATAAAAATAGTATTTGTAACTTTTTGGTCCCTTGGTACATTTCTTTAGTGTTTTCTGTCAAAAAGAATTGTTATAGCTGCATCACAGATTGAGTAAACCTACAAAAAGTAACCATAGCAATAAAAACAAACCAGAAGTGGCCTCTCCAACCTAACTAGGAAGGATAAATTTCCCAAGCAACTAGAGTTGGCTTTCGGGCCCTAGATGTCTGAAGCTATATTGAAAAGATACAAAGTAGTTATTTTTCCACTGCCTACTGCTTAATGGCATCTCTAATAAATTTATTAAAAAAATATATAAAAAATAAAAAAAGGACCTCCAACGTAATTAATGCTTTTTGCTTCTCTTTTCCTTTCTCATTCAGCCCCCACTACCAACTTTCTTCCTCTATTTCCATTCATACTGTGTTTCTTAAAAACACACCATTTCTTTACGTTCATGCACATTGCTTAACCTAGACACGCTCAAAATCCCAATAAAACTTACACTGAACATTTTCTGACTAATTTACATGTACACACGCAAAGGTTCCACTGAAGCATGTCTAAGTATTTGGTCTTTATGCTTTGTACTGAGGATGGCATCTCTAATAAATTTATTAAAAATATATATAAAAAATAAAAAAAGGACCTCCAACGCAATTAGTTCAGATACAACTTTGGTTCAGTTGCACAGTGATTATAATTGACGATGTCAGTTTAATTTAGCATCCCTTCAGAAACCAATCAAATGATCTGATGAACAGCAAGGCACCTTATTCAAACCAAAAGCATACGTTATTTTCTCATAAACTGAAGCAACATTCACTCAGAATCACGCCTTTCACGTTAAAATTGATTTTCTAGCATTCTTAGATCATAAAAGTCTTATTTAAGCTCAGAAAACACAAACCTTATCCTGTAACCACTGCATGCAAAGAGCACCAAGCTTATCGTCAAAAAACCCTACACCCAGCTGACTTGCCAGTAAAGGAATATATTCTATAATTGCTAATCTAACCCTCCAATGTCTATCCTCAGCAAGCTCAACTATGGCAGGTAACAATGATTGAGACAGGAGATCAATTCCAATAACCTGCACAACAGGTTTATCGTGAGATGGCAGTAAAAATGTTTTAGAGAGATGGAGAGTACAGCAAGTATAAAACAGCAAAATTATAATGTTAGTCAATAACTTTCCATTTCAGTTTCAAGGTCAATTGTAACAAACCTGATTTACTTGATCAAGCTTGCTAATGATATTGAGGCGCACGTCAGGAAATTCATCCTTAAGCAGAGAAAGAAATATAGGAAGCAGTTGTTCAATAGTTGCATCCTGCACAAGCCATCTGAGTGAGCTATTTGATGTCCAATACAAGCAACTAAGCAAGAATATACCATTAAAACAAGACTATAGAACTGGTTCAATCATCAAACTTCATAGCAGATGGAGACAAGATTAATTAAAAAAACCGTATTTATCCACTTTCAAGTGGCATGGAGTATGAAGTAAAATGGAGGCTTCAAGGAAAAGATAAGTCTACCATCCTACAACACCATATGTATCAATCACTCAAGCACACAAATAAAGACAGCATACTTTTTTATGAGAACACAAGGAGAAAATAAAAATCGTAACCAGTCATGGTAATTTTAAAAAATAAATAATTAAAGAAAGGATTTAAGGTAATTTTTAAGGAAAAAGAGTCCCGGAAACCTAGATTCAAAGATGAAAGTTAATTATTCCACTACATAACCCCCACAAGAATGTTCCTACAGAAACATGTGTGAAGTAGTCATTCCAAGACTAAGAGTGTACAGAGTTGTAAGACCCAGCACAACAATCCCCAAATGATTTTAATTTTTAATTCATCTCGCTTCTCGGCCTTCAAAGTTCAGAAATACAAAAGAGGATCCAGGTCCCAATTCCTTACTGATTTTCATGAACTTTCATACAGACATGTCAAATATTAGCAAACTAACCATTCGTCTAACAGGAATATTAACCAGCAAACTATTTTTAATTCACACCACTTTTTGGCCTTCAAAATTCAGAAAAAATAAACACCATCCAGTTCCCAACTCCTCACTGTTTTTCATAAAATTCCAATTACGTCAATACAGATGTGTCCAAAATGACTAGGAACTTATATTAAACAGAAATATATTTATCAGCAAGCTATGTAATTCACATCACTTCATGGTCTTCAAATTTCAGAAATATTAAGCAGCATCCCGTTTGAAAGACAATTTAAAGAACAGCCATGGTTTCCTTTACATTTGCCACACAAAGATCTGTTCATCGACAACAATCTAATCATCATCATGCATAGCAACAACAATAATTAGTTTTAGTAATTGCCATTCACGAGCAGGACATTTGTGAAAACCAAAATAAAGAATTTGTACCTTTCCCAACACAGGAGCCATTCCCATAATAACTGAAGCCAAAGCTGAACGGACATGCTGAGAGGAATCTGATGACAATTCCTGTAATCATTATTGCTTAGAACTTGGTGGAAATATGAGATAAACAAAATAGTGGTATAGAATGTAACGGTGCAATATGAAAAGGAAATTTTAACTTTTAAAATAGCATATGCACCTTCACACAGGGAAGGATATGCTGAATAGCCAGTTCCGGACTTAAAATTCGGCAAAACTTGGTGACTTTGCCAGCAGCTGCTATACGAACTTCAGCTTCATTGTCTCGAAGCAAGCGCACATAAGCAGGTACCAAGTCCGTTCTTACCACCCAACAATCAGTTCATGCAATATATAAAAACTCAATATACGGAACAATTCGCGTGATGTTCACAGAACTTTTTAATATAAGAAATATTTACCATGTTTCTAGTACAAGCAGAAAAGTATATTTGTGCTCATATATTCTTATAGAAAATTGGATTTCATTAAGATAAGTAAAATTAAAAGAACAAGGCCATCATTCACATAGGCCAAGGGCAAAGAAGAGGAACCACCAAATATAACAAAAAAGAAAAAATAAAGTACCTCTAATCGTTAACAACAAAGAGGAAAGGCTCCTTATTAAAGCAAAAAGGAGCCAAAAAAACTAAAGCTAATAAAAAACAAAAGGAGTAAAGAGCAACAAAGGGAATTCAGAAGAACTAAGCAAAATAGCCCTAAGAAAAAGTAACCTCTTTCTGAGATCCCCCTATATCCAGAAAAAGGATGGAGGAGTCAGGATCCTATTTATTTAGCCAAATAAATCAAATGATGGCCAAAAAAACTTGTCAGCCAAAGGAGTCCCCCTATCTCAAAAAGAAGGGTCATACTAAATTACATGTCATGGGTATCCATAACACAATTGGTCCACAAGAAAAAGTATCATCTACAAGATAGCATTCCATCTTTCCACATATATCTATAACCAACTTTCTATACAACCAAACCCTTTCCAGAGATTAATAAGAAATTACCTAGTAGGTTCAGGTCCAACTGCTTCACACAACTCATATAACTGGTTGGCAACCATGTAACGCACACGCCAAGACTTATCCTATATAAAAGGAAATGCAGGCAGGGAATCAGAAAGAAATTAGGGCTTGCATAAATTGGGCCAATGTCATATAAAGCATATAAATACCACTTTTACCTTCAGTTATATGACAAGAGGTACTCAGCATTAAGAACTAATAAAATAAAATGCGGATATATAGATTATACCCCATTAATATTCTACATTACCTAGAAGTGAAAAGGTTTGAGAACAAATAAATTTAACTAAATGCTGTGCTTTCTTTGAAGTTGATTAGGGACAGCTCAAACCCTCAAAAAACTTCAGTAGCAACTTAAAGGAATTTGGGCGTTTTTGCAGTGCATCTATGTCATACATACTAATAACCAAATCATAGGAGCGCAAATGAAACATAATTCCATACATTCAAACGTTCATCACTAAGACCTGGGAGTGGAAACCACTAGATTACTAGATGTAATTGCACGATAACGCTTGATATTTGTTCCAAAAAATATAATGCTTGATCTGATCAATGAAGACAATTCTCAACAACATTTATGATATAACTAAAAATTTGCCCAGGCATACATTTCAAATTGTGAAAAACAAAAAATTGTGCAAAATCATACCTGAGAGAAGTTAACAATAACTGGAAGAATATGTAATACACAATCTTGGGGTTCCAACAACTTGCCCAAAGCAGCACAACCCTCAACGGCCAGCAATCTTACAGAATCTTGATCTGTGAAAGACATGGTGTAAGAACACAAAATGTACCATTCAAAACAGAAAACTGTATCGTTAAAAAAGAGTTCTTAAGAAAATTTTCCATGTTTTTGCTGCAAAAGAAAGATCCATCTCACTTCCCTGTTAACGTCTCTGATGCTAAATCTTAAAATGAAACATAGTAACACTTGTAGAAACAGTGATCTCAGTTTATTAGGCAGTGGTGCAATACACTCCAAAAATGATTCGAAGACTTAAACAGTAGTCTAGACTGTCCACATGAATTCAATGTCAGCACGAAAAGTAAATCACTCAGGTAACATATACAGATAATTACCATCTTGTGTAAGATCCTCAAATATGGTCATGATATCAGTCTTCAGATGAGCAGGTTCAATAGTTGCAGCAAATTTTCCTAGATTTGTTGCAGCAGATCTCCTAACCATGGGCATGTCGTCTTGACACAATTGGCCATATATTGACCGCAACTCAGTCTTCAACATCTCTGGAGCACTAGGGTAGGCAATATGAAACAGCCCACATGCAGAAACTCTAGCTGTAAACCATTCGCCAGCTGCTAATCTCTGGATATGTGCGAGAGCACATACACACAAAACCCTTAGAAAACATTGGATTTAAAGCTATCAAGGTTGAAAACTAAAAAGAGTATTTTAAAAAAATTAAAAATTAAAAGGGTAAGAACTAGCCATTCTCAAATTCTTTTGAAGGGAAGGGGAAGCTACATTGAACCGGGGGAGGGGGTATATCATTGGACGCAATCTTTAGCACAAGACATCATATATTTATGGATACGTTTCTCAATATTACCACTTGTCGGAAGTGCCAGATAAAGTAATGGAATGATGTACCAGAGTAAAGATGGAAAGAGAAAAAGGAAGTGAAGGAAAATACTAACCTTAACGAGAGGAATGAACCAATCAACTAAATCACTCTCTCTCATCTGGGATCCAATTCTGCACAATGATTCCACAGCTTTGTCCCTCACACATGTTTCCTCAACAGTGCACAGGGTTTCAAGAGGTGGAAGTAAAACATGGGCATGCTCAACACCACCGACATATGGGATAAACACTCCCAATTCCTCAGCCATAGCAAGAAGCACCTCATCATCGTCGTCATTGTTTTCACTTAGAAATGGGATCAATTCCTTACGGGTCCGCTCCTCTCCAAGAGCACGAGCAATTGTAGAAAGTCTACGAATTGAGTTCAACCTCAGTTGGATGTCATCATTTTTCAGCTCGTCAATAAGAATGGCTATTGGATATAGTGGCTCGTCAACCATAGACATCTTATTCAGTGCTTTCCTGTAAAACTAAAGACGTGATAGAGATAATAATCGGCTCACATCTACAAAAAAAAAACAACTTCCAAATAACACACGCATAGACGATGTTGGGAAAACAATAATAAAGATATTGAAAAACAATTTTATTCTTATATACCACATAGAACGAAAAATGAACCACCGCACCAAAAATGGACTTAAACCTTGACGTAGATGGAAAATACCCAAGCGCAACTCTACCGCTTATGTTAAACTCGTGCCTTCCGCCTCCCGCCTTCAGGACGTTCAAAATAAAAAGTGGATAAAATCAATGCTCCAAAATGATCTCTAATAACTCGATGGAAAACACTAATTACACTAGAGATCGAGTAATTCCTTGTTGATTTATAATCCTCGACTTCCAAGAAAAGGTAGCACGAATAAACGGACAAATCAGATCCGCAATCGAAGATCTGAGAGCCGTAAAGGATAAGGCTAAAATACCATAGAGAGACGACAAAAAAAAACAAACAAACAAACAAAACAAAAAACAAAACAAGAAAAAGAACAAATAGAGAAAGAGAGTGCAGATTTGAAGGTCTGAACCCTAAGTTCGGTGTTGTGCGGCCACAAAGGTGAGAATTGAAGAACAACCACCAAAGTATGGACAGCGCGGTCGAATTATTGCCTCATTCCATAAAACTGAAGGTACCGCGACGCATAGAATTCAATCTCACTAATCCTTAAACTCGACGACGAAGTAAAATAAGTAAAATCCAGATTAAACAAAACACTGCTCGGACGTCGATCGGAAAATTGAACAAAAAGGCATACAAAAGTGGAAAGGTGAAAGGGGACTCACGTAGATCAATGCCCTTGGCTGGCTGAGCTTCAGGAACCTGTCGTCGGGGTGAGAGAGGGAGAGAGAGACCAGGAGAAGAGAACGAAGACAATCAAGGCTTTTGTTACAATGCTTCCCTGATCTGAAATTCTATAATAACAGAAATGTAAAATTGTATGRGCCGGCCCATCAACCAAGAGCCTAATACATTGGGCTTCTTTCTTGGCAGAGAACCAAGTCCAATAAGGATTCAAGTCCAAATAAGGAGTTCACTTGTTAATGGGCCTTTATATCCTTTTAGGCCCAAATGGTGTCTTGTTCAACGGTCATGAGCTTTCGTTGATAACAACCCGATGTATGACTGATGAATATATTTTTACAATAATAGCTATTTTTAAAATTGCCAATATTAGAACCTAAGGTCTTTATTTTTTATTTTTAATATTAAATTTATAAAGATTAGTTAGGCAGATCTATTCCTTTATTTTGTTATATACTTTTTATAAACATTATCTAAATTTTGAAAACAAGCAAAGTACTTCAAAAACCTGTTTTAATTTTTTAAATCTGACTAATAATTTAAATATATTTTTAAGAGAGGTTAAAAACATGTTAATAAAATTTTACAAAAACAAGCATGATTCTAAAATACTAAAAATGATAGTTATTAAACCACGTCTAAACTTTTATTATTTACATAACAACATAAAACTCTCTTCTTTGTAATATTATAACATAATAATTCAATTATTGACTACTAAAGTTACACTAAATAGCATGCAAACAAATATGTATTTATAAAAATATTATTAATTTGGTTTTTTTCAAAAAGGTCACGAACAACTTTTGAATGATTTCACGTGATTGTATAATTTTTTAAAATTTTAAACCTAGTGCTGTATATCCTCTTTTGTTTTTTTTTCCTATTATTTATCAATTGGTTATGCATTCAACTATTTAAAAATAATAATAATAATAATAATAATAATAATTAATTCAATTAAAAAATGTTTGTTATTTGCTGCAAATCACAATTTCTCCAACTTTATTTGTTTTTTTAAACATTTTATTTTAGATCGAAATTAAAGAATACGTAGAATAGTTCTTAAAATATAATAATTCCACCATTTCAAATACATAATAATCTTGATTTATGTGGTTTAATTTTTTTCTTGGTACAACATACATAATAATCTTGATTTATGTGATTTATTTTTTTTCTTAGTACAACATGTAACAATTAACATGTAGGAGTGAGATGCAACTTTTGTTCCATTGGAATTATAGTTTACTTTTGCCAACATGATTTATCAAATAATTATTGGTAATATAATATCATTTACATGTCAAATAAATTAAATAAATAAGACGTGATCCTTCACGGGAAAATACGCACCCCTTCCTTCACGGGAGAGTTAACCAAAATGATCAATTACCAGTTAGGTGAATACTGAAAAACCACTCAAGTGACTACTAGCCGATTTGAAGAGTTTGAAAGAGTCACCTTTATGCTCATTACACACCACCTTTATGTTTAAATTTATTTACCAAGTAATCACATGGATGGAACCGACAAATTTACAACGACCAATTGAACTGATCGAAACTGACAAGATCGATTGCAGAACTAATCAAAATGAATCAACTGAAATGGTTACAGTTTGAAAATCATACAAAGCCGAACAAACCAACATCTCTGGTTCAAAATGACCAATCTGTAGAGGTCTGTTTGGTTCAAATTGTACTTCTTGTTTTGTATGTGTTTGGCTTCCATCCTATATGGACCGACTTCCCTAGAGAATGGGGTATGAAACTTTAGCTATAAAACATTCTCAAACCATATCTCACGGGCACATCACAGGATTGAAGAGACAATAAGTACAAAGAACAGTATACTAATCATATACAGCGGGCTTGAGTTTGCAAAAATATTAAATAACACGGTGTGAAGCATCATAAATATTGTGTAAGTACACAATCTTTCTAATGACATCACATCTGGAGGCAAAATAAATGTAATATCAAACTAGAGGCTTAGTAAACTTGTAATCCTCTAGGCATAATAAAAGAATCATAACGTTAAAGGATCGCTCCCTCCCGCATATGGCCCCGACAGGTTGATGAACAGATTCTAGTGTCCTCCCAAGACTCTTCTGTATTAATATGTGATGACCTGGATCCACCTAGGACGGACCCGTTTAAGTTACCTGCCACGGAAGAATATAATAGGATGCAGGTTAACGAGACTGAGATTTCAACCCTTTTTTGAAAACCTGTGGCAAACTCAACCATTACTGTATAATGATGAGCCAACTGTAGAGAGGTGTGGTATCAGATAATCCAGTGCACTCAAACTTTGGCATGGCATCATATCAAGTCTCAGTTCTTGATGCCAACGAACCTAACAATCTAGTCCAAAATCCAAAATGCTCCTTTTTAACTGCAAAGTTCTCTGCTGCCTTGAAATTTGCCTTCTCGCTGAGCTCTTCAAATGCATTCAAGAGATTTTGAAGTCTTGCAACAAATTCAATGAGAAGCGAGGCAAATGTTGCCAAAGACAAGGAGCTTGCACTTTCGTATACTTTCGCCTCACGTTCATTAGGCATGGCATCCATCGATAACGAAAGACGTGGCCATGAAATAAGGTTTTTGTTAAAGACACTTTCTGTGGATACCCATTCTGTAATGGAAGGGTTCATTCCGATGCACGAGTGATGAGCATCCAGTGTCTCATTCAGGGATTCAATTACCACCTGTTTGTTATGATCATCCTTGCCATCGATAAAATGTTGAAAATCTTCGTGTTCCTTTTGCTGTATTCCAGCTCCCCAACTTGCTGAATTGACCAGCACATATGATCGCGCATCAATCTTCATTTGTAATGCTTCTGCTGCATCGTGAACTTCATAAAGCATGTCGACTGAACTTAGTCTCTCCATCTTTTCTACTTTGCTTCCAAGCTCATGTAAGAATTTTGCTCCCTCAACGCCAACCCTCTGAAGCTCCTTTGCAAAGACCTTTCTCTTCTCCGGTGGAGCCTGTAATATAAACTTGCAAGATCTAATCATCTATATATTGGTTCGAAGAGTTGCCAAACATTACTTAATTATTGCCAATATAACACCCAGCAACTAAATCAACAGCTTAAAGTCATCAATAGTATAGCTATCAAATTATTTCTATTTAAAATTTCAAATCTGAATCGCCATGCTTTCTCTGCCATATAACAGGTAAATATGGCAGTTCCGTGCATTCAGAGCAAAGCTATAATACCAGTTCCCTCTCCCATCTTCCAGAGCAAAGAAAGCCGATGAACTTGCAAATGGCATCATCAAACAAATTTAAAGGTGAAGGAATTCAAAATGCTTTGTGAACTTCACCCCATTTACACGTTCATACAAAATGTTTCAATAGGCCTATAATTTTAAATCCATAACATGTTCAGCGTCCCTGGCTATCATAATGACCACAATCATCTAAACAACCAGATTGAGACGTCGCATTTTTCCCTGTCAAGAATGCAGATATCACTAAGCTAGATATATAGGCTGGTTCCTTCTTACAGCTAAATTCAGGTCAGTGAAGAGAAGTGATAAAATTTAGAATTTTAAGCTCGTTTAAAGTTGATGTTATCAGGAAATTAACCTTCACAGGAATCAGTTTCAACAAAGAACAACGGCCAACAAATATTGGCGATGTGATGGTAAACTTTGAAAATCTAGCTATTAAATGTAGTGCAAAAAGAAGGTCTAATCACCTGGATTTCTGAAAGAATACATCCGTGCATTGCCATGACCATAAAAGCACAATGCCTAAGAGCACCRCTCACTCTGACATAGTTATGCCATGGATAATTGAATGTCCTGTAAGGGCCATGMGGTGGCTCCCAGGAGGCAAAGTCCAACTACAAAAACAACTCCTTAAGTAAAACCGTGTTCATAACACATCATCTAATAAAAAAAGCAAGCAAGAATCGATACCAAGGTGTCCTCCTGGCTCGAGGACTGTACAGCCGATCTATAAGCATTATATACAGGATTATCAGAGGCCTGGTATGTAAGAATTTTTGAGGAAACTCTCTCATATTCCACACATTGAAGATATTCGTTAACAACGCCTGAACAAGGTTTTGAAGAAAGTAACAAGATGAGCATGTTATTGCTAATTAAAAACACAAGAAAGTGCGCAGAATATGCTTTATAAAAGAGTTTATAGAATTGGTCTTACCTTCCAAAGAAGTAGCAACATTTTTGAAATTTTTCACAACCAACTTGTGCAGATCCTCCCCTGCCCAAATGGGGAATATACATATATTAACTACCAAGCACATGCAAGCACCGATGGCAATAAGCAGTAATCGGTACAAAGCCGTTTCGAAAAATGACGATGTACTTCCAGATACCAACACGATGCAAAATGTCAACAAGAATACCCGGAACCCGTATTCATATGTCTTCATCGGCGGATACAATTTAGTATAGCTTGCGAAAAATCCTAAGATAACGAATTGGAAATTTTTAATTTAAGAATCCCTCGTATTATAATCTCATAATATACAGATTAATCATTGTCTGCTAAAAACTAGTACCTGCAATGAATATACTGATTACGATTATAACTTCATTAAACGCGCCGGCTGAACTAGATAGYTCTGCAATACCTAGAGCAAGGCCTCCRGCTGAAAACGTCCCCAGGGCACGATTAAACCCTTTATTCAGTGTTGCCCCTACAAAAATTAATATAATTAGGCTCATCAAATTTGAAACAATTGGATGTAAATTGGGGGGGTGAGAATCATTCACCTACCGACGCTAAACTCGAAAACGACCACAACAGTAAGAATAGCCCAGATTGAGTATTGCCCTACGTCTTTTAAAGGTTCTCGAAAGAAGATGACCAGCGAAGCGAGCGAAAGCGAAAGCCCCATTTTCGCAGCGAATAAGAACTTGCGGGGATCGGAGCGGCCCATTTGGTACAACTTGCCGGTAGTATCTTGTAAACCGTTCCAGAAGTTGTTGATCGCATCGGAAACTGTACGGAAACAGCGGCATTTGACGTTCTCTCCGCCGCCATCGTGGCTGTTGAAGCCGAAATCAGAGTAGCCCTTCCGAGATAACAGCCTTTC